GGTGTATGGCGCGGAGGCATGGACAATGAAAGCATCTGATGAGGCGGCTCTTGGAGTTTTCGAGAGAAAGATTCTGCGAAAGATTTACGGACCTTTACGCGTTGGTGATGGCGAATATCGCAGACGATTTAACGATGAGCTCTATGAGCTTTACAACGATATAGACATAGTGCAGCGGATTAAAATCAGCGGCTCCGCTGGCTTGGCCATGTCGTTCGAATGGGCAGAAACGCTCCTGCTCTGAAAACATTCAACGCGGGCCGCGATGCTGGTAACAGAGGAAGAGGAAGGCCTCCTCTGCGTTGGAAAGACCAGGTGGAGAAGGACTTGGCTTCACTTGGCATTTCCAATTGGCGTCAGTTAGTACAGAAGAGAAATGACTGGCGTGCCTTTTTGAACTCGGCCAAAATCCCTTAGGCGGTTACAGCGCCAATAAAGAAGAAGAAGAATAATGTTTTATTGAGACGAAAACGAATAGCAAAGCAAAACAAAATAATCATAAGATGCGAGATCTTACATCATTATTTAAAATTAATTTGAAACACATGAACAGTTTTGTCAACCTCCCATCGGTTTGCAAACCACCCCACACACGTTGAAATCTCATCCGATCGTTTCAATTTGTTGTCCGTTTGTAGCCTGCTTTAGAGATATATGTATATTGGGACCCACGGTACAATTCTGAAAAACGTCGGGATGGGCGGGTTCGGGACTTAAAAATCTAGTTTCGGGATGGGCTACTCTGAATAGCTTTAGTAGTAACTTACCGCCCTATTCCCACACCACTGACAAAACTCAGCGGCTGACTATTGCCTTTACTACTGCGCCTAATACTATGCCGCAAATTTATTTTAAGCTGTCGTATGACAATATTCAGTTTTATTGTTATGACCTACTGAGTAAGTGACAACGGCGAAACAATGTTTATATTGTGTTTAAGGCGCAGTAATTGTGACAATAGTCATATGATAAATTTTGTCAGTGTTGTGGGAATAGGGCGGTTAGAATAGTTTCAACTTAGTTGTGAACTAAATATGGCTATGCATATGCGCCCATGGATCTAAAATCAATTTTGAGTTTGCCAAATTGCGAAAATAGGTTTCGAAGAAAATTTTGAAATTTCCACTGTTGCTCCCTCGGGTGGGCGTTTTAAAAAAAAGATAAGTGCAGAAATGTATTCCTCATACCAAAATCCCTTGTAGCATGTTTTTATAAAGCATTTAAACACTTCTTTACGACACTACAGCAAAATTCTTACTTATTTTCTTAAATGCTTACTTTATTTTCGCAATTTGGCAAACTCTAAATTAATTTTAGACTCATGGTTCTTTCGGCAAATTCGCCTAGTATAACGCGTAGAATCCTTCTGTGCTATTCGCGCATAGTCGAAAAAAATTTCCAATACAAATTGACCCGCCCTAATGTACATACATACATATATACAGGGTGTTAGCAAAAGAAAAAACGTCAAATTTTTGTGTAGATGACGTACCCAAACTAGTGGCGGAAGGTAGATTTGAGGTCATCAAAATAGTATGGACCCCAAGTCACAAGGAGATACCGGGCAATGAAAAAGCGGAAGCGCTTAGCATCCGTAATAAAATTCAGGATGACTGGTATGAAGTTTCGTGAGTACACAAGACTTAATCCAGGTACATATTGACAAGTAAATTAAGAAAGTTAGAAAAATCCATGTTTTCATGGAAGAAAAATGACGCCGCGCTCAATCAAGCACGGTGCTGCTGAACCTAAAACAAATAAAACATCCTTTTACCTCTAATTTTCTTTCGGATCTCGAATATCTTAAGTGTCTAGATCAGAGATGTTTCGAATATTTGCATTCGCATTCTTTATGGGAATGATCCGGATCCTTTTACACACTCGAATTCGCATCAAATGATACGAATATTTTGCGAATGCGAATGTGTATATGGGCAGACAGCGCAGTTAACGACTACTAAGCATTCCCATTCCCACGACAGCCGGTTCTACGTACCGGAATGACTCGGGTTTCACCCGACCAAGGGCTGTTGTTTCGGCGATCTAACCCCGTTTAGGTCGGCGGAGTATCTCAGAAGTTGTCCGTCCATAGGGCAACATTCACTACGCATT